ATCCTAACACTCTGGATTAGGAATACACACAGGTAGATTGCTTGTGGTCAGGAGTTCTCTTGCCTCAGCCTCCCAAGTAGCTGGGACTACAGGCACCTACCACAACGCCCAGCTATTTTTTTTTTTTAAGAGACAGAGTCTTACTTTGTTGCCCTCAGTAGAGTGCTATGGCATCATAGCTCACAGCAACCTCCAACTCTTGGGCTCAAGCAATTCTCTTGCCTTAGCCTCCCAGGTAGCTGGGACTACAGGTGCCCACCACAATACTCGGCTATTTTTGGAGACAAGGTCTCCCTCTGGCTCAGGCTGATCTCAAACCCATAAGCTCAGGCAGTCCATCCGCCTTGGACTCCCAGAGTGCTAGGATTACCAGCATGAGCCACCACACCTGGCCTCTTTTGCCCACTTTTTGGAGTGGTTTATTTGAGTTCTTTGTAAATTCTGGTTATTAGCCCTTTATCAGATGCATAGGTTGTGATGGGTTTTATCCCATTTTGTAGGTTTTCTGTTTAATTTGTTGATTATTTCCTCAGCTATGTAGAAGCTTTTTAATGTAATCAAGTCTCATTTATTTATTTTAGTTGTTGCTGTGATTGCCATTGGGGTCTTCTTCATAAATTCTTTGCCTAGGCTGTTGTCTAGAAGAGTTTTTCCAATATTCTCTTCTAGAATTCTTATGGTTGCATCCCATACATTTAAGTCTTTTATTCATCATGAATTAATTTTTGTGAGTGGTGAGAGATATGGGTCCTGTTTCATTTTTCTGCATGTGACTATCCAGTTATCCCAGCACCACTTGTTGAATAGGGATTCTTTTCCTGAGTGCATATTGTTGTCTGCTTTGTATGTGGATGGTTTTGTATCTGAGGTCTCTGTTCCATTGGTCTATGTCTATTTTTGTGCCAAATGCTGTTTTGGTTACTATATCCTTGTAGTACAGTTTGAAGTCTGATAATGGGATGCCTCCAGATTTGTTCTTTTTTCTTAAAATTGCTTTGGCTACTTGGGCTCCTCGTTCCAAATGAAGCATAAATTTTTTTTTTCTGGATCTGTGAAATATAATGTTGGTATTTTGATGGCGGATTATGTCAAATCTGTAATCACTTGGGGTAGTATAGACATTTTAACAATGTCGATTCTACTAATCCATGAGTATATGTTTTTCCTTTTGTTTGTGTAGTCTGCAGTTTCTTCCCTCACTGTTTCGTAGTTTCCTTTGTAGAGATCTTTCACCTCCTTGGTTACTATACTCCCAGGTGTTTTATTTTCTTTATAGTTATTATGAATGACACTGAGTCGTTCTTTGATTTGACTCTCAGCTTGACTATTACAATTCAGTTCTAATAAACACTGTATTTCTGTTTAGCATACAAACGGCTAGATGGTTCCACCGAATGCTGTAACAATCACAGCCTCACGGATGTGTGCTTTTCCTACAGAAATAATTTTAATAAGCGTTTGGTAAGTTGTCCCTGAGGCAGTCTTTCTTATCAGATATAATTACTACAAACTAAGTATGTAAAGCCAAAATGGAATCTATGAAAATTTGTCCTGTATTCTCTATTTACTTTATTGTTTTATTAAAATCTCTGCATTTCGGATGGCACATTGCATCTAAGACTCTTTAAAGATTTATTGTGATAACATTTTATTTGGCCAAAGTGGGATACTTGCATCTACTTTATAGTAGATATATATAAATGGCATTTGTTTTATATGAACTTCATTCCTAATATGCTAGGTGCCATGAAAAATATTGAAGGAGTGTAACTTGGATTTTTCTTGCTAATAAATCATTTTTAATATTGACTAATTAATATTTTATTTGTAGTATACATGTCTACCTGCCCGGAAAGCGGTTGAAGCCACCCAAGTTTGTAGAACCAATAAAGACTGTAAAAAAAGCTCAAGTTCAAGTTTCTGTATAATACCTTCTTTGGAAACTCATACTCGCTTAATAAAAGTAAAACACCCACCTCAAATTGATATGTTGTATGTAGGACATCCTCTGCATCTTCACTACACAGGTGGGTATTATTATGGTAGACCATTAGAAAATTATTAAGATCAGATATATTCTTAGTGGTAGGAACTCAGTACAAATCCTTGCATTAATTTTATTTATTATAAATTTGATCACTTATCAATAGTCTTGGGCCAGGTTCGATGGCTTACACCTGTAATTCTGGTACTCTGGGAGGCCAAGGTGGGTAGATTGCATGAGCTTAGGAGTTCGAGACCAGCCTGAGCAAGAGCGAGAGCAAGACCTGATCTCTAAAAATAGCTGGCTGTTGTGGCAGGCGCCTGTAGTCCCAGCTACTCAGGAGGCTGAGGTAAGAGGATCATTTGAGCTCAAGAGTTTGAGGTTACTGTGAGCTATGATGACACCACAGCACTCTACCAAGGGCAACAAAGTGAGATTCTATCTCAAAAACAAAACAAAAAAGTCTTGTTCACTTGTTCTTAAATATTAAATAAAATTTAAGCAGTAGGAAAATAACCTAAATAATCTAAATTTATAAAGTAAGATGGAACTGAATCCCATGCCTGCCTGTGGAGAGTGACATCTTTCCTTCCCTGCCATTTATACTCAGTTCAAATACATGATCTCTCAGAGGTACTCTTAGAGTTTATTAAATTTATTTAAGCTCCCCAAAACAGGGACAAGATCAGCATACCCTAGAGAAGGCCAGGATGCATGAGGATGTGAGGTATAAGGTAATTTATGCATGATATATTCATTTTATGTGATTATAATTTTAAAACGGGGCCAGCATGATCATTTTACCAGCAGCAACATGATTGGACTAAGTATATAGGTTCGCAGTATCAGTGAAGATTATAACATCTAACTAATTTTGTTGTATAAGATTTACATGTTACTTTTTTATAACAGTTTACCATAGAATTCACCCATTTAAAGTGTATAGCTCTGTGTTTTTTAATATATTTAGAGTTGTGTGACTATCACTACAATCTCGTTCCAGAACATTTTCATCACCTTAGCAGGGGTGTTCAGCCTTTGTTCTTTTCTGTCATACACTGGAAAAATAAGAATTATCTTGGACCTTGTAGTAAATACACAAATACTAATGAAAACTGATTAGCAAAAGAAAGGTTAGTGCATACTTTTTTCCCATGCATATCAGACACCACAGATAAGCAAGAAAAGTCCTCATAAAATCAGCATGCAGCCAGAGGGACACCATTGGTAAAGAAAACCCCCCATACCCATTAAACAGTCACTTTTAGATATCCACT